GGCCCTTGGGGCCCTTTTTATACCGCCGAAAATTTGCCCAGGGTTGACGGTCTTTAATAATATCTCATCGGTGCCCATACCCAGATAGTGTGTCTCAGATGACATTTATGTAATAAAAAATCATGAATTTAATAATGCATGAGCCAAATATTTATGTTAATAATGGGAAATTTATATCAATTGTCGGTAATGTCAGCGTTCTTGAATTACCTCCGGGCCCTTGGGGCCCTTTTTAGACCGCCGAAAATTTGCCCAGGGTTGACGGTCTTTAATAATATCTCGTCGGTGCCCATACCCAGATAGTGTGTCTCAGCAAAATCGCACAAATCTGTCATTACCCAGATAACAGTTGGTTAAAGGCTCACATTACCCTCACGCGTAATTGTCGTGTCGTGCACAGGGTTGGGCAATTTAGAGCTGCGAATAGTTTCTTACGTATAATACGTATGTATAATACGTATAATACGTATAATACATATAAAACATACATATAATACGTATAACATACGGTATTATACGGTATAAAAACCATGTATAATATGTTATGTTTAATACATGCCCAACCCTGGTCGTGCGTGCAAGAACGCCATCATATTGCCTTCATAACATGATGGAGGCACTAATGCGAGCGCAACCAATCGAAATTCTTCTTTTCCATGGAATGAGAGGAAAGGAAAGCTTCTAATTAGCTGATTCGCATATGCACTCTGCGTTATGTGTTATGCAAAAGTCTGTGCTGCGGCCATACAAGATATCATTGTGCAATCACGCGTGATGGGACATTATACGAACATAAAAAGTCGTATTGTATCATCATCTATAATTATAAAAAAACTCTAGATATATGTATACGTATTATAATTCATCTGGAGGGCTCCCACATATGATCATCATGCAAAAACGCCAAATCAAGTGTGATTGTTGCATAACGTGCAAAGTATTAATAGTTTTTACTTAAAAGAAATAATACTAACGACACTACTACACTCCCACATAGACAAAAAGATATCTTTTATATTTCTAAAATATTTCTTGCCATGTCTTCAGATATCTTTCATTTTTTACGAAAAGACATCGTTTAGGGATCTAAAAGACGTCTTATGCAACATTTAGAGATGTTTTTTATAGATCTAGAGATATCTGAAAGATATCTTTAAGATATCTTATACCGAATTTGAAGATATCTAAAAGATATCTTTTAAATACACGGCGAAGATATTCGAAATGCTTTAATGATATCTAAAAGATATCTTTTAGATATCCGGCAAAGATGTTTGAAATGCTTTAAAGATGTCTGATAGCTTTTAGATATCTTGAAAAATGTATTGTAGATATCTTGAAGATCTTAAAAGTTGCATAACATAACAATGTTAAATTTATTAATTGAAAATTGCTGTTTTCAACATGCGCGCGCTGAGAACAACAATTTTTAATTAATAATTTTAACATCGTTATACTGCATAAAGGTTATGCGTTTTGCGGGTTTCCTCCGTGTCCAGATCCATTCTTGAGATGCCAACGTTTCGTGAACCTTGCAGTTCACTTCACCAGGGCGAAGGGCAGCCTGATACTGAGCTGTATCCTCCAGGCCGTTCCTTTTTATATTACGCTGCTTGTTGGACTGGTGGGGATGGG